ACCACAGCATCAGGTCCTGTGGAGCAGAGGAGCATCTTCTGCTCTTGCCCTGCCTTGGGTCTTACATCCAAAGCACAAATCTTGGGAAATGTGATCGCATCAGAGGGCTGGAAGGAAGCAGAATGAAGGAGGGGGCTGGGAAAAGGTCCGTTTACATTTGCAGCAGATGTTATCTAGAGGAGGAAAATACTTTTATTTCCCCTGTGGACTGCCAGTTGATTTTCATGTGGCAGGCACTAATGGAAAATAATAAAGCCCATTTTAGTTAGACTGTATCTAGAACACTTACAGGTCAAGCCAGTACTCAAAAGAGAGTTACAGAACATAACACATTAGCTTGTCCCCAGCGTCTACAGTTGCCAGGGGATTTTTACCATTTGAAATTGAATTTTACAGGTCAAGGCCTTTCATGGGTTTTAAAAAGCAGTGCATCTCTGTAAAGTTAGCATGAACATGGAGACAGTTACTGGGTGTAAGGATATACAACCTTTGTGTTTGTTAACAGTGAAAAAAAAAAACAAACCACCCAAAGGGGACTCATGGTGGGCAGTGTGATATGACTATAAACTCCAGAATATCCTCATTAATTATTATGACTCAAATTATTTGGTATTGTCTTCCTGCTGCTAAATCAAACCCACAAAATGCACAGGAGGTATCTTTCTCTGAAAATTAAGTCCTGTTGGTTTATAATATAAAATTCACTGATGACTGTAAAGGAAGCATGGTCATAAAAGCTCAAGTTTCTTAGAATGAGTCAGAAGTAGATAATTTGTTTAGGCAAGATTAACTTCAACATTCAGATAACCTCAAACATTTTCCATGTGGTTTTATACTTTGCAGAATAAATAAAGCGAGGACATGAGGTCTGTGCCTGAACTGCCACACACACGTGCACACACCCTGATGTCTATGTTTTCTTCTCCATCCCCTCCCCTTGCAGAGCCTCGTCCCCGCAATGCTCCCACCCTGCTGATTCAGGAAGGCTGTAAGAGGGCACGCAGCATTCGCACTTTGATTGCCCAAATCAGAGACAAGGGCCACCAAAATCCCCGCTTTGAGCATGCTGGAGGTTGAGGGTGGTCCACACACTGCCTCCATCCCCAGCAGCCCCAGCGATGAGGGTCTCCTGTGCCACAGTGCCCCAAAGCCAGGCATCCTCCATGGCATTCCTGCTGAGAACTGGAACTGATACTGATGACTTCATTATGACACCAAATCCACATGCCAGGCAGGTCAGGCATTGCTATCCCAGGCAACTATCTCAGCACTGCTGGTGGGGCTGCTGGGATGGCCAGGGTGATCTCCCAGGTGACAGAGGAAGCCTTGTTGCTGGACTCATTTCCATGACACTGCCTTTTCTGCCACAGCCAAACAGCTTCCTGCTGACTCACCACACTGATTGTGATCATAATTCATAACAGCAGAAGGCTCAGGCCCAGGCTGCAATCCTCCCCTCTCAGCTGGGCAGACCCTCATGAGAGAGGCCAGTGGACACAGCCCTGTTCCAAGGGGCTAAACTGGATCAACTCTCTTGTTTTGTCTTTCTTGCCAAGTCAGCAAGTATGCCAGTCGGCTAAACACATAAAATCACTATGCTTTGCTTTGCTTTCTTTCTTTATTTTTAACCCAAAGCTAAGTGTACATCTCAGGAGTAAAGTGTGTTATGTTCTTAGTACCTGATGGTAGCTGGGAAGTGCATATGCCACTCTGTTTCCCAGTAATATCCACTGAAGTCTGAAATCACTATCATTTCTACAGGTTTTTCCTATAATATAACTTTAGTAAAACCCCCTCTTAATAGCATGCTGTAGCTGTGCTAAATATTGACTGACTTTTTTGTCAAGCTGTTGGACAAGAATCTGAGACCAATTAATATTAAATCTGCTAATGTTTAGATAATGATAAAGATCTCCAGTTCCTCACGTTCATAATTAAAATGCCTCTTTTGTGCTGTATGAGGTACTTTGATGGACAGTAAGTGCCTTTGCAGAGAGGGTGGCAGCCTGAGCCCCTCCATGCAGGGGGAAAAGGTCCCAGGGAGGAGTAGCATAGGAGCTAGAAATAGCACTTTTATCTCCACATTGCCACCATGCAATGCTGCACAGTACTTGAAAACCCCATTGCTTTTCTTTTCCCCAATGTTTTATTATCCTAAAGCTTCTAAAACCTTCATTGTCCATGAGGGGAAAGATTGCCAAGTAAATTAAAGGGTATAAAATGTGGGGGAAGAAAAAAAGAGCAGTTTAAAAAGTATGTGAATGTAAGAAATAACAAAGTTCATGTCTGTAGGCTGCTTCTGCTGACTGGCCAATGCACACTCATTTCAGGGACCTGTGTTTCCCATGGGTCCACCAAGCACTCTGCAACACCACTGGCCAGGTTCTGCGGCTTTACCTGCAACAGCATTTTGATCATCCTCTTTTTAGATGGCAAAACAATCACACGGGCTATTCAGACCTGTGTTCCCAACTGTCGTGGTTTAAACAAGTTGCCTGACTGGGTTTAAACCACGACACCAACTGAAGGTGGTTTTCATGTTGAATCAAGCACTGAGCTCCATGTTTTGGACAAAGTCACTGCTGTGTCCAGCTGAGAAGTGGCAAGCAGAGAAGCTGCAGTCAGCACAAAGAGCTCAAAGGAAGGACCTGAACAACAAGATTCATTTGCCTGCTCCCTTGTGGTGGTGTTGCCCACACTGGAGCCGTGGTAGGTTACTGAAGGAAAAGGATCTCTGGGAAATGCAAAGGGTAATTGTGTAGTGGCAAGGAGAGATGAGCAAACCCATGGAGGAGAGTGACTTATGCAGAATGGAGTGAATCTTGCTCCTGTAGAATGCGGTGACTACAGACGTCTCTGTGTACCAGCCCACACCTCATATCAAGCACCAATGGGAACCACCTTGGGTGTATGTTGGGTGCAACTCTACCTAGTTGCCAATTCCATCTGGATTGCAAGCACAGGGATTTAACTGCCATGGAAGTTAAACATATGCAAGAACTTCAGGATCAGACACACTGATTTTTCCTCTGCTACTATGAGCCTGTTGCACAAGAATCCAGTGCAGAGCACAGACCTCCACTTTTTCCTTAGGTCCTCTCCCATGTGGGGTGTTTCTGCCTTCCATGCATCTGCTCCAGGAGCTTTACCACCTCTGCAGCCAGTACAGAGATGAAGGCAACCCTGAAATGATTTAAATGTTAGACTGGCTGAACTGCCCCAAGAAATTGCCTCTTTCTCTCTTCCCTGACAGTACATGGAGTGTCCTCGTGCAGCAGCACAATTTGGGTGCCAAAAACAGCATAACCAGGTCCCCGTGGGGTGTGCTGACCCATGCAGGATGGCATGCAGGGCAGGCTGCTGCGCAGCACTCAGCTCCCACTCCCATTCCCAGCTCAGGTATTTTACATCCATCTGATTCCCTTCATCATTAACTTTTTTTTAAAAGACTCTACTATTGGTGACTCCACAAAGGTCTTTGCAACATAATGAGAACTTTTCTAATGACTCAGAGATTTCTAAATTAAATGTAAAATGTTTGTTGCAGAGATGCACAGCCATACATTATGCATTACTGTTTTAATACAATAATGTAATTCTGGTAGAAATTATCCATGTGAGCTGCAATCAGTTTTAGCTACTACTCTTTGCATGCTTCACAATCTGGTCATTCAGCTGTGGAAAGTGCTTTTACTTGATTACTTATACTGTTGATAATCAATGTGGCTTTTGGCAGTGCCAGGATGTTATTTCACTCCCTGAAATTGCCAACACTATTTGTGGAGGGACCAGGCATAGCTGTGAATGCTCTGCCAAACCCCTGTGGCTTCACTCAACACCAAGGAATGCACAGACTCCAGCACACTCTTGAAGACTTGTTTTAGCAGAGTGGGTTTTCATGGGTTTCCACCAGCCCACCTCTCACGGTCCGGCAAACAGCATCATCCTCACTCTGGCTCCTGAATCACCCCGTGCAATGGCCCATGGCTATGGCCCCACTGGACTGGTGGAAATCACCATTTTTATAATGCACCCCCAAAATCCTGTACTCCCTTTGCTGGGTGGCCTTCAACAGTCACCCGTGTCATGTGGGGTTTGCTTTGTGCCAAGGCAGCAATGGGATGGTGGAGGTTTGCACTGTGCAGGACTGGAAAAAAAAAAAAAAAGAACAATATTTGATATGATAAGAAAAAATCTCAAAGGGGAGAGATGCTGAAATAATAAGTTCACAGTAGGGATGTGAAGAACTGGAGAGCATATATTCCCTGTGACTACATTTTGGTGGTTATTATACTACTATCTTTCTTCCTGAGTTTTGTCAGCCTGTGTTTCTGTATCAGAGAAGGATGCCTAAAATAACTGTGAGCTTAAATGTTGAGATAACCCCAGGGGCTCATACATTCCTGCATGCTTTGCCAAGCAAAGTGGGGTCCCCTCCACAGGCAGGACAGCAATGCCTCTCACACTCCTCACAGGAGCCCTTGTTGTTCACACCACCATGGCATGGGGCAACTCCAGCACAGGGACCAGCAGCCTGACGGAAACGCCTGTTCCAGCCCCCAGGGAGCTTGCAGACCTGTAGGTTGTAGCCCACAGACGAAAGGGTCCCCACACTGACCCCTGGTGCCATCCTACTCTCAGAATCCCTCTGATGTTAACTTGAGGAGTCAACCACGTAGGTGAGAGGGAAGGCTGGCAGTTGGCCACCACTGCCTGTAGCATAAGGGCATACAAATCAGTGCGAGGGCTGGCCCTCATAGCTACCAGCTCTAGCTGTGTTGGGCTGATTTATTTCACATGGGAGCAGCAGTAGCAGTTTACGCCTCCTCGTGCAGATTACAAGATAAATCTGGCTTTCAATGAGACCCACTGGTGACTGACACTGACAGAGCTTTTAAATCACCGCAGCTGCCTGGATATAGCCATGGGGCAGATTTGGCCCTGCAGGTCAGCTCTTTTTCTGGCTGGTGTAAATCAGCACAGCTTGGATTGAGATGTGGTGTCAGGTTTGAGCGCCACTCTCATTTTTACTTAAGTGTCTGTATGGTAATTCCAGCTCAGAGGGACACCTGAGGGCTGCAGCCCTTCTCTGCTTGAACTGCCAGCTTTTCCCATGCTAGGAACTACCTTTTACGGTGAAAGCTTTAAGTATTGACTAGAAGTCTCTTGGGGGTGCCACGTGGATGCTCCTTTTAAGACCCACTTCACACTGCCAAGGTCCATCCATACAAAGATAAATATCCTCCTCATCACTAATTTCAATTACTTGTATGCTCTAAAAACTTTCGCGCTGACTGTCTATACAGGCAGATTGCCAACTGGTAGAAGCTGGCTTGGTCTCCGTGAAATTGCCAACACTGCTCCTGGAGATAATCTGGTCTTGCCTGGATAAATTCTTCAGCATTAAGGTAGTGAGAACATCCAAACAGGAGATAAAAGTCCTCTCTGTGCTCTGACAGGCACCGATCCCTTCTGACACATGTCCCACTGCCATTAACAAGTTTGGTGTTGCTGCCAGCAGTGCGTTGCCATCGCAGCCAGGGATTATCCTTGTGCTCTTGTTGGTGGGACTGATTTCACCTTGTCATGAGCTTGCACCCAGAGCAGGATCAGACCTGCAGAGTGGGCAAGGGCACTTGCCTGCTCCATCTGTGGAGCTGATCCTTGGCCAAGCACTGCTGTGACACTGGGAGCATAAGCATGTGTGAATGTATCCTCTATCAGCATCATACCCAGACTGTAAGGTCATTTCTAGACAAGTTTTATCTGGACAAATTACACTATAGATGAAATAACCACACCAAAGTACAGTATGTTATAAAAACAACATCCTTTTGAAATTAATTGTGCTTTGCTTTTCTTAGCTTTTAGCATGGTCCAGGACACATCAGACTGTGTGGCAATGGTCCATGATCTGGGCCAGAGGAGGACAAAGCAAAACACCAACTCATTCCTCTGCCACTTGCAGCTGCTCCTTGTTGTGTCGAGAGCCTGATGGAGCCCTGGCTGGGCTCCCTCTGTTCATATTTCCATTTCTGCATGTTTCGCGTGGCTGATCGGTGGCCACAATTTTCAGTTCCATGCAGTGATGATTCAGTGTGAGTTACCCAGGGAAAGGTACGGGTTTGCTATGCCACTTGGTATCCACCCTCTTCCCAGCCTGCCACCAGCCTGTCAGAACGTATGTTTGGCTGTGGTGTGGACATACATCATGGGTGGAGTCATCATAGATGGTCAGTAAAGTCATCGCTAGTAAAATGGGTCCATGTAATTCTGAAGACATGTCATGAAACCCAAGACAAATAGACAGTAAGGGTGATATTTTTCATAGCTTCTATACATCTTCATGAAACAAAAGCTAAAGCCAAATAATGTTGTTGTTTGTTCTTGGCAAATTGCTCAGAGAGGCTGGCGATACTGAGTGCCTATACAAATATCCTGTGGGTTTGGGGTGTGTGAAGGTAGTTATTTATTTAGCCTTCATTCTGAGGAATTCATTTTGCCATACTTTAGATAAACATCCATTCAAAGCAGAATTTTTTATGATTGCAAATTATCTTTGTGGCTTACATGACCATCCTGATTAGGCCCCTGAGGACAGAGCATCAGCTGGTGCAACAGGACATCATGCCACTGATGAGCCTTGTGGCAATTAGAGCTACTTGCAAATTCATCTCTTCATGTAGCTTAGTAGCTAGATGGCACTGAAGGTATTTTGTGGCATCTACTCTCTCAGGTATGGCAAAGAGATGACTAATTTGCCTGTGAGTGGTAAATAATTGTGGAAATTAGTATTATTCATTTTTAGTGCTGTTGGACCAAATTCTGTCTGCTACTATCACTCATGTAGGTGTTGTGACTACAATAACATCTCAATGTGATAAGCAATTCAGACTATCCAGCCTGTCACATCCCAGCTCCATAGGCACTCGGTGGAAGAACTGGTGCTAACACATGTTAGTCACCTACTGCAGATGGTCTGAAGACAGCTAGAGACTCCACGTCAATATTGAGATACGGCAAACATGAGACGTGGAGCAATTTAAGAGGAGAAAAAGAGAAGATTGAAAAAGGCTGAGGGGAGAAGACATTGCCATTTCTGGGACTGTTTATAATTTGTGACTGACTTGGCACAGGGCTTTCATTCCTCACCGCAGAGGGGAGGTGCCAAACTTGGGAGCAGCTCTGGATTTCAGAGTCTCATGATTTCATCTCCTTGGCTGCTGGTACAGAACCTTGGTGCTCCAGGACCCTTATTTATTTTATGAGTCAGGCAGAAAGTTCTCAGTCACAATCACAAAATCATTACAGCTCAAACAATATGTTCAGTGATTCAAGACCATTTCTCACCCATGTTAGTGCTTCCTGTGCTGCTCCACTGACTCCACCACAGTTCTCTGAAGAGTTTCTCCAGCTTCAGAATTACCTTTTGGCACGGCTTCTGGCAAATGAAAATAGCTTCACTAATAATTTTATTTCCAGTTTGTTTCAATTATGCTTCCTTTCCAGTGGGAGTTAAGTGGTTGTTTTGGTCTCACTGGTTTGAGGCACGTAAAACTTGTATATAAGTTTGTGTATTAGAGGACTCTGCAGAGAAAAAGAGGAGTCATTGCCAACCAGTCTAGCACTGATTTGGGGAAGGAAAACTCACCCCAGCACCAGCACCACTGGGAGGCTGCAGGTCTCTGCATTAACATGTGTTGCTGCTTGGGGACCAGGCTGCAGTGCAGGTGGCTGAGGGGCTGCTGGGGTCCACCAGAGCAGCTCCTTGCTGTGTCTATGATGTCCCTTGCAATCACACCCCATGGCAAAACCCTGTACAAATGGCAAGTGCAACTAATGGGATATTTAGAAATGAGGTTTACCTCTGTTTCAGCCCAGACTGAGCTTTTTGGAGAGTACTTTAATCCCCGACCTGAGATCCCATTTCCCCCTCAGATGGGCAACTGGAGAGACTGTGGTGGGAGGAGGGAACAGGATTGCCTTTTCTTGATACCCTGCTGATTTGGAGAATATTTCAGAGCTACCTCAGTGGATCCAGCTGTCTGACAGGAGATCCTTCTGACCTACTTGGCTGTGCAGAGGAATAGCAGGAAGTAGGAAAAGGGTTAGATTGCTGCATAAAAGGAGCTGTGTATCTGGTTGACCTAATTTTGGTCTTTATTGCACTTTTTTATCTCCACTGGCTTCAGCAAAGGAATGCTGATTTGCACCAGAAGAAGCTGACCCAATTTCCATGACCTGCTGTCACCATGTACTGGGGCAGTGATGACTTTGCTATAATCCTCTGTCCCATTTTCCCTTAGTTCAGGTTTCTGCAGGAGCACAGAACCGCAGAAGCATGACAGATGCAAATGCGCATGCAGCCAAGCTGGGATGTGGGGCAGCAGGGCAGACACTTTGCAGATCGGTTGCTGTCACCCAAGTTTTCCTATCCTTAAAAATTCAGAGAGTCAGACCATAGCGAGAAACCCCTTCTCAGGGCTGCAAGTTAGCGCAAGTGTGGGCTTGGCTTGGATGGAGGATGCCCAGCCCCAGCTCACTGTAGCTCCATCCCCTCCCAGGACCCCACACCACCACCCCAGCTGGCGGTCCAGATACGATGCTGTATCTCCATGATGGTTAAGGACCGAGAGACATGAACATCCCCATATACAGGAATTACGTCCCCTCCCTCCTCCTGCACAGCAGCTTTGAAACCCTGTGAGAGCTGCATCAGAGGAGACTTGGTATTGAAGTTTGTTAATTAATATGCTACAGTTAACTGAAAGCTTTCTTCAGATCAAGTGAAATGGCTCCTTACCTTTTGCTGTGATTGAAGGAAGAGAAGACATTGCCGGTGGGTGCTGGCAGCATGGCAAGGATGAGCATGACAGAGCAGGCATCACTTTCAGCAGTGGCTGGTCACGAACTGCCCCTTCTGTAGTTGCATATAAACCATAGGAGATGAACCAGTACTGCTCAGATGTTGCTAATATCATCAGGCATCCTCTGATAAATGGGCAGGAGGGATCCAGCTAGAGCAGGGGCTAATTCTTTGGGACAGTTTCCTATGACTTTCAGTGAATAGCAGCATGAGGCTCCCAGTGGGCACTGTCGAGCAGCAGCAAAACCAGGAACATCTCCTGGCCCTTGCTTTTATCTAAAAACTGCCTAGTCAGACTGGTTAATTCAGGTTGGGTTCTTTGGATGCACTTGAATGAAAACACCTGTGAAAAATATTTGAGAGAGATAAACATGCCTTATTTTTGACTGTTAAAAATTTGAAACAGAGGCAATCCCAATAAAACAGAAAACAAAATTCTTGAAAGAAGGCATTCCAAGTAACTGGAAAAAATAAACAAGAAGCATTAAAAGCTGCTAGTTTTTCACTGCTCCACGACAGTCCTGGTTCTCCCCTTTTGAGTGCCCTCAGCCTCTCAGTCAGCTCCACAAACAGAAATCAGAAATCACCTAGTCTCAGCATAATTCCTTGTGTCAGTTTGGCCTTGGCTGGGATGACCAAGCAAGAACACAGGATCTGATGTTTCCTGATTAAACGGAGGCTTAGCTGTCTCAGGGTCATCAAGGGCTGACCAAGCTGGGCTGTCAGGGGTGAGGTTTCTGGCTTGGACAGCCTAGTCTTACAACTCCTTGTGTTGGTCTTGGTTTACAAACCTGGTGAGCTTCATTGTCTGCATTTTACATGGTTGGTCTGATCTCCAGCTGGAGATGTGACCACTCACAAACTAACTTGGAGCACAGTTTGGTGCCAGTCCAGCATGCTTCTCTCTGGCCATAAGACATTCCGCTGTGTACATGCAGGTCTCACAAGTACCTCGGGTCAGATCATCCTGCTTCCAGGACATATATGCCCAGTTTTAGAGGTCTAAGTGTGGGAGGAGAAATCCACTCCTCAACTGCTTCAAAACAGCCTGAAACCATCTCCATTTGCCCATTGCAGAAACACAGAAAAATGCAGAACTGTTGTCAGTGCTATCAAGATTCAGGTATAAAGAAAAAATCAGGCAAGGAACAAGAAATTCCTCTGTTTTCTGAGGCCCACACTTCAAGGAGGAAACCAAGCAGGCTTACGAGGGGCAGAGGAGTGGATGCTGCAGTGCAGCAATACTGGCTTACAAGATGTCCCTGTATTTCCCATCCACCTCCACTTCTTCTGGTTGACAAAGGTAGAGTTTTAAGTGTTTTGTCTAATACAGCTATGCAATGACAGCCTGGGGACCTTAAAATGCTGCTGTCCCCTGAAGAAACCCTGAGGAGTGCAGGAAACCGCACTCACACTGATCCCTTGAGGGGACAGCGATAAAATTAAGATTTAACAACAGCCCTTAATTGCTGGGTTTCTGCTCAACCCTGCCATTGGGGGTGAACATAAACAAAGGGAATTTCTGTCCTCCACACCTTGCCCAAATAAAACAGTCACTGGGGCTGGGCATACGCTGAGATTAGATTGCAGGAGTTTATTACTGCTGGCAGCAGCCTCACCAGCCCTGGAGTCCGTAAGAGCCCTAAAATATCTGCTTGGGGTTTCTGGAGCAGCTATGCATCCTTTTGGGGTTGGGTGCATTTTATGGCTATAATCAGATGCCTCCATTACTCATTTCTGCTCTTTCTACCCAAAATGTCTGACAAGTTCTGCTACAGGCAATATGTAAAAACCAGACCCTGAACTGTCAGATCACCCAAGTACTGCCTCATCTCTTGCCTCATCATTAATGAGTGATGGGGTTGTGCTGACAGACACTGACTGGCCCAGGAAGAGGGGGAAAGGAGGAGAGCTGAAGTGATAAACTCCTCAATTTGAAGTGACATTTTATGTGTTACTGGCTTCCCTGGCTCCAACAGCCTTTGAAGAGTTAAAAGAGAGTTAAAAGAGGAGGAAGACAAAAAAAATATCCTTCCTCCTGCCTGACTGTCAGATGTCTGGTCTGTACCATTTATTTTTAATAGAAATGTGACATGGTTTAATGTTCTGTCGATTAAATTAAACTGCAGGGATGATGTAGACAGAGCCTGAACTGAATCCCCTGGTGAAAAATGATCTGCCTGTCCCAGCAGTTTTCCTGGCCATTACCCTGCAGTGATGGATATGGACCAGCTGGGTACTGGATTGGGAAGGATGGGGGAAGTGCAGGATATGGCCTTTCCCCATCCCGGCACTGCTATTACTTTCCCTTCACGCAGGAAAAGTGCCGCAAGCAGAGTGGTCTGGGCGCAGTGTCAGCCTCCCAGCTCTCGTGTGGTGACATGGGAGGAACAAATGGGCACGAAAATTTGCCATGTTATTGAGGCAAAGTATTTGAGTTGACCTGGAGTGGTTGTCCTCTCTCGTATGTAATTTCTCTGGGAGTTTCGCAGGAATTCCTGAGGAAATTAGGGAATGGAAAACTTCTATCAATAGTAGGGGAGAAAAGCCAGGTTTGGTTTCTACATAGCATGTGGAAAAGCAGGATCTGGCTCCACACAGCCCAGATGGTAAGTGTTTCGGGAGGTCAGGCTTTACCTAAACATGGTGGGGTCATTCCAAAGGGCCCTGTGGATGGGAGAGCTCAAAACCCTGGTTCCAACAGCGCATCTCCAAATCCCTCAATGTACCAGCAGCACAGTGTGGTTGAGGCTACCCAGGTCCCTGTGCGCTGGGGTGTGCAGATGCATTGGGCATGTTCAGCAAGGGCTGTATCTGTATCTCCGCTGATGAAGACAAAAATGGTCTTCAGGGAGGACAAGCAGGCTTATTTCGTAAGCACTGAATCAACATGCAGGAAGCTCCTGCAGGACTGCCTGTATGGGAAAACATATAATCATTGCACAAGTAATCTTACTAATAGAATTAAAAAAATCCAAACATTTTGCATGAAAAATGACAGATGATCTGCAAATAAATAACCTCTCAACATAAACACACAAGAATTCATTGAGTGCTTTTTAAAAGCATTGGATTTGACTTAGCAGATCTTTTTCAGATGTCCCTCTCAAGCAAACCTAAACATCAAATAATAATTGTGTAAAAGTACTACTATAATAATAATGCTAAAAATGCATTATGCAGCTTTTCCTTTGATAAAGGTCTCTGTACTCATATGAAATGTTTATTGTCAATGCTTCCCCCCTGTATCTGAAGAAGAGAAACCAGCGCTTCTGGTTTCTGAACATTTCAGTGTGCGTGGCAGAGAACAGAGCCAATGGGGCATTATTTCTGATAGACTGATGTTATAAAACTATCCTTCATGTCCCTAGAAAGATTCTTTCTATTATTTATTTGAAATTAAAATCAACTCAGAAAATATTTCCTTTTTTATAACAGATTCAGCTAATGCTCTCTTTTCTTGTAATTTATATTAATAAGGATTGCTCTAATCTTTTAATGTATTTCAGTAGTTTCAGCAGGTTTATGGGATAAGATTGCTATTATTTACCTCAGTGACTGGTTTTATGGAACAACTGCAGCTTTCTGTGGAGATAGATCAAATGCTGAAATGAAGGAAAATAAAATATAACACTGGTTCTCACCACTCACGTAAGAAGCAGAAAAACAAAGAGGGCAAGAAGGACAGGAGATGTGTTTAAAACTTTAATATACAGGTCACTCTACTTAGAATGACTAAACTGGTGCTTTTTTATGTTATTTATAATGGGTCTGAACAAAACGTGAAGGAAGTCATGTCAAAGAGTGATCCAGGACAGTGTCCCAAGACAGGACCCCTCTGTCCTCATTCCCTGCTTCCCCACACTGTGATCTTGAGGGTACTCTGTTTTTTAGCTCTTACACTGCTGAACACAAATGTGCCTCCTGACCTGGGCTGGCCAAAGCCTCTTCAGAGACTGGAAAATAGTGAAGTTTTTTTCTCCTTTGGAATGATATAAAATTAAATCCCATGTTTTATAAAGGTGTTGCAGTTGGTGGAAAAGGCAGGCTGGTGCCAGGGACAGCCCATCCATCCCTGGCACAATGTGAATGGAGTGATGGGTACCAGCTCCTGCTCTGAACTGCTCCAGTGCTGGAGCTCCAGAAACAGTCAGGGATCCCATCCAAAGTCCCATGAAATCAAGGGGCTCCTCTTAGCTTCAAAGCCAGGAAATACATTCTTAAAAGCTGAAGCCAGTTTTATAAACACTTAGGCCTAAATCTGGAAACCTCTAAAAATGTGATTTTTTAATTTTGTTTTCATTATATGATAATTGGAAACATGTGTGCCCAGCTTCCACTGCATCTTGGAAGCATCTGCCCTAAGACCAACAAGCCCTGCTGCTTGCTGGGCTGGAAACTCCCCAGATCTCCACAAACATGCAAAAAGAGAAGCCTAAGAGCCAGTGGGGTGAACATGAGGGTTTCGGGAGAAGCAGCCTCTGGTTTATGCCTTTAAAGATGACAGTTGCAAAGGTTTTCAGATACCAAAGGATTTGGAAATGGAATTATCATAACAATTAATGACACATGAAGAGATGATCAGAGGAATGTGATCTCTTCTTTCTCTGTTTGAAGATTTTCTGTTGGCAAAATATGATAGCTTTATTTATCTTCTGTCAGAAAGGGATTATATTTTTTCTTGCAATAAAAAAGGTCTGCAGTGATTTCTCAGGGTATTTCAGGTATATGAGATGAGTCATGATGGGTCTGATACATAACACTTGTTCTTCCTGAACGGTGAAGTAGAACTGCACTGCAGAGTGCAGACCAAGGATAAACACATTGGAACTTCTAAATATTATTGAGATTTTAAATTCAAAACTTCATATTGGGAAAATGTGGAATAATCCAGGCAATTTTCCTTCCAAACAATGACCCTCATTTTTAAGCCAACTTGAAACTGGTTGAGATTATTCAAAGTCTCAATTCTGAGGAAAGAATTCAGTGCTTTGTTCGTTTGTACCAGATATATTTGTTTTGATACACCAAAATGCAGAAGTATTAATGGCAATCAAATACACAAAGAATTCATTGAAAAAACAAGCTGTGTACTTACCCAACATAGTTGCAATCGTTTCCTGTGTTACCCTTGCAAAATAAATACTCAGAGCTAACCCTTTTGAGGGATTGCTACAGACACCACAAAGGAAATTTAACAGCAACTTGGAAGTTTTTTTTGTTTATGATGTTATTCCTTAGGCACTTAAAAGAAGAGATTGTTTTTCTTGTACAGAAGCACTAAGACAAAGATGGGATGCAAGTAATTTTGTATTCAGACGACTGTCATCGTTTCCCCTCACACAGCTGTAAGATTTGTGCCTTTGGCACCTATTACTCTTGAT